GGAGGCCAGTGCGTTCGCTTCTTTTCCAGAGGCAGCCGGGCCTGTCGGCGAGAGGGAGCCCACCGCCTGCAATGGCCACTGTGAGTAACAGATGCCCGCCTCCCCGGCGTTAGCGCCGGAGCGGCCCCCTTCTCCGCCGGCTTGCGGTACGGGGGTGGCTGTAAGTCAGGCCCTGCGCCTCGTCCCCATGAGAAGGCAAACCGGCGCCGTCGAAGGAGAGCACTTCTCCGTGTTATTCGGGACGCTTGCATTTTATTTCCCCTTTAAAGCCGTCTTTAAATCATCGTGCTTATGGGGGAGCCGTTGATAAAACTCTGAGTTACACCAAGGTACATTTTTATTTGAAGGCGATGGCGTTGTCATCCTTCCATCTAAGTTTTGGAAGCCAGTTTCTGTGGATATTGTGGGAATAATCGAATTGAGGATTAAGTAGGATCTGCTTTGGTGTTGGTTGGTTGGTTGGGTTTTTTTCTAAATGTCATGAGTTAAGATTAAGTACTTGGGTTCACCAGAGTGCTTTCAGACTGAAGAATGAAACACGCATTATTGATTTAGTCTTGCCACAGAGACATGAGTAATTTATTGATTTCAGCTGTATTATTTCACTTGTGTAATGCTAGGCATGTAAATATTTGTATAAATGAGCTCAGTCAACATATCTGTAATTAACCCTAACATTTCCATGTTAAGTGATCATGATTATGAGAAAAAGTGCTCTTTTCTTGTAATTACATGTCAGCTGTAATTGTGTACGTCCGTTTTATCTGTAATGTAATCATTATGCAGAAATTAATTTCACTAGTGGTTTTTATTTAGTAGAAGAAGAAGCATTCAGGTGGAATCGGCAGACTTTTGTTGTTGTTACAGGGACCTTTTAAACCTAGTGGTGTTTTAGAACTAGACAGCTTAAGGCCTTAACTGTAAATACTTCCTTTAAGTCAGACGATAAAATGTGCCTTTACGCGTTTGAGTTTTTATGATGTTGGTAGAACTTACTAAACATTGTATGTTTACACAGAGGTGATATGTAAGAAACTGGTGCTTACTGGATTAGGTCCTGATACTCTGAATAGGGTTTTTGTCTTAAACATACAAATAGTACCATTTTCTCACTTTTTTGCAGTAACCTTGTTGCACACATATTTAGTGGTAAACATATGCATAAAATTTTATAGAATTAAGAATACAGCAATTAAGGAAAATCCCGTTATGTCAGTTTCACAAAAGATTTTCTTTCCCTCACCTGGAAAATGAAATTTTATGAAAGCATGCATGCTATGGCAGGTGGGATTTATATTTTCCAGTAATGCACTCTTATGTGCAAGTGTAGTCAAGAGTATTAGTAGTTCTGTGCTGGAGTTAAATAGCCTTTAATTTTTTTTAAATTACACTTCTAATTATGATTGTGAGTGTATGATTTGTTATTTTTCTGTTATGCATGTGTAAACGCATTGTGAAAGTTGTCAATCTAGTTTTAAAGTATAAAAAATAGATCAGACTTTTCAGTTTAAGCACATCACCTGGATATTTCTTTTTTTAAAAACAAACCAAACCAAAACACAAAAGCCGCAAAAAAAAACAAAACAGTGACAGTTGCTCATATTGCTGCTTCAGATACTCGTTGGGCCTCATGGTGAGGAGCCATTAGCTCTTCAGAGCCCTGTTGAGACTTTTTGCCTGCTCAGGGAGATAGCATTGCATCATTTTCTGTTTACTGTGTAGCTGAATCAGTTTCTGACAGAATCATCTTCAGCAATTGGAAGTTATGTTGACAGTACAGCTCTGTGGCATGAAGCAGATTTTCTGGTGTATTCCAAGTCCATAGAATTCCTAAAGGTTTTGTGGCTTATTGGCATTTTGACCACCGTATCGATCAATTTGCAGTAATACTTGTTTGTAAATATGCGAATGTGCTGAGTTTGCAAATCTAGGTAATGCTGGCTGCACTAACTTAAGCTTGCACGTGTTAAATGATTTTGAGAGCAAAAGAAAGAAGCTGAAATTACCGTACCTGCCTGTTTTGATGTGCCTGCATAGTTCAGAGCTGTTGGTATGTGTCCTTTGCTGGTGCAGAAATGTGTGTAAGCGCACACATATACGTGCTTCTAGATGAAAGCTACAAGATGTATCTGATGTGATTCTGTCTTGTGTTTCCGTCCAGTCTTTTAAGACATAGGAATATAGGCTGACTAACGTTTGTGCTAACTTTCAAGGCAAATGTCTTGGATATCAGGGTTTACTTAATTAACAATATTTCTGGGTATTTCTGATAATCAGTCCTGTGATTGAATTGTGACAATCATGGAAGCAATGACATGCATGGAAATAATCATGGGAACAATCCTCATCCATAACTTAATGTGGGTTTGGGGTTTCGGTGGTGCTATTTAAACTTTTCAGGGGTTTTTCCTCACATGAGGAGGCCTTTCAATAAGTGTTTTCGAGGCTTTTCCTTTACTTAGAATAGTATTACTACTAAAATATAAAAGTAATAATAAAATACTTTTAAAACTTGATTTTACAGAAACACAATTGATCATAATTAAAATTGTAATTTATTTATTGAGTGAGGATTTCTGTTGTTACCCAGAAAGCTGTACTTAAAGTAGTATTTTTGCTAGCAGTATGTAATACTTATTTTGTTTTTCTCTTCTCAGGTGCTCTGTAACAGAGCAAGATTGGTCACCTACCTACCAGGGGTTTATTCCTTAGTCAAAAGAGTTGTAAACCCCAAGGCTTTTTCTACAGCAGGTTCCTCTGGCTCAGACGAGCCTCATGTTGCCGCTACACCTCCTGATTTATGTAAGAAAAAGCAAATTCATTTTCTTTGAATTCATGTGCTGTCAGAACTTTGCACCCTGTATAAATTTGGGAATTCTGAAGTGTGCTTTTTATGTCAGGCCCTTACTTCTGCTTGTGCATTGTGGTTACTTTGGTTATATGTGATTGTGATCAAACACAGATATTTGTATGGGAGAGGATTTTTTTTTTTTTTTTTTCCCTCTTTCTTTTTAGATGTGGTGACTAAAGCAAGACCTTGACTTTTGCAGGTCCAAGAACTGTATGGCCAGATGAAGTAATGGGTCCATTTGGTCCTCAAGACCAGAGATTCCAGTTGCCTGGTAATATTGGTTTTGACTGTCACCTAAATGGCACTGCTTCTCAGAAAAAAAGCCAAGTTTCAAAAAGTCTCCCTGATATATTAGCAGAGCCTTCAGCAAGTGAAAGGCATGAATTTGTAATGGCACAATACATAAATGAGTTTCAGGTAAGAACAGGCTGCTTCTATGTGAAACTGGTATTTCTTGTCTAAGAGAAACATAATTAATCTCTCTTTCTCTGAAAAAAAAAGATATTGTTGATTTTCTAGATGGTTTTGAAAGATGAACTTCGACCGGGAGATTACATAGAACCTCGCTGAAGTTTTTTCTTTTAGGAGTAGGAAACATGTCAGGGTGTGGGTTTTCTGACACTATGTCTAGGCAGTGCTTGGTGAAATAGCATTTTAGTAATGACTTAATTATATGGATATGGGAGAAGAAAACTTAGTTTCACAACTTGCTGTTTGCCAAGTCTCACCACCTTTTATCAAATGGAATTGTTAGTTTCTACAGTATTTCATTTAGTGGATCTGGACTTGCATAGTTTGGACAGTGGTTAGATCTACCTGCTTAGTTCTGACAACCATTGAATTCACACAGGAGAAGCAGATCAACCTGCCTGAACCTCAGGTCTCACAATGAGACTACATTTGGGCGATGGCAGAGCTTGCAGCGAGTTAGGTGCATTGTTAACAACAAGCAGCTTGGTAATTCTTAACGTGATCACAGTGTTTCAACAAATGTTTAGTACTGCTAGCTGCTGACTCAACTTTCCAGGCTCTCTGAGTTTGCGACATGCTCAGACTTTTGAAGTCAGCTATCAAATCTCCATTGTAAAAATGCTGTGTAGTGTTTTTTGTAAATGTAGCATTGTATTCCAAAGTGTTCAGAAAACCTAAGCTTCTGGTGAGCTCCCCAGATTCTGTTTTCAGCTTGTGTAGATCATACTTTCCGTTGAAAGCCCAACAGAAAATTCTGGTCTTTGGTTTGTTTAGTGCAAACTAGGTGCACTGAATGCATGTCTGCTTTCTAGCAAGATTACTTCGATAATAAAATGATTGGTGCAGCTGTTGCTGTCCAGAATGGGAGGGAGAAACTGGAAAGAGCAGAGGGAGGTTTTGGAACTGGTATTCAGAGTCAGAGTCTGCTCTGCTTCATACCGGTGATGTTTAGGAATCCGTGAACAACATTTAGCTAACGAAAATGCTAAACTACTCATCTGGGGAGAGGACCCAAATTTGAATGAGGAGATCAGTTGAATACCAGAACCTCCCGTAGGTTGCTGCAACAAGCAGGAGAAAAGCTCAGTGCTGCTGATGCTCATGCACCAACCCTTGAACCAGTTGGAGAAATGTCAGACTTCTGTCACCTCTGTGTACCTGAGATTCATGTATTAGTTTTATCTGAGCAATGGAAATGGGCCTGCCAGCCTATCGGTATCGGAAAGCGGTATTGATCTTTGGAAAATGGCTGTAGTCTCTTGATGATAGCATGCCTGGTAAGCGTATGGACTATGTAAGTGGTGTTTAGCCAGATAGAATGGGAGTAGTAGACAAGAAATCACAATGAACTACCATTCATAGTAAGAGAAGCATCCTATAGTTAGGATGGCTTGTCAGGCTTCAAGTACCAACCGATCAGTCCCAGTGACATTGCGATCGTAATGCAAGGTACATGTGGAAACATGTATTGAAACTGCAGTTAATGTCTGTTGTTTGTCTATTGTTGTGTTTATTTTCTGATGGTTTGGGTTTTGGTTTTGTGGTTTTTTTTTTCCTGGTCTTGATTGTTAACTTCTAGAACAAAAATGCTAGCCACACTGTGTTTTCAGTGTAATAGTTTTCTCTAGGGAGAACTTTCAGATACAAACAAGTATTACGTAGGACTTAATGTACTACTCAACATTGTAATATCAGTCTTGGAAAAACTTACTGAAATGCATTTTAAATTATGGCATAGTTAGAGCTCAGAAAACTGTATTAAGGTATTCTGCACCTGTTAAATAACAATTGCTATCCCAAAGGAGGCAGTTGTTGTTATTATCGTCTTCAGGGCCTTTTAAGCTTAAATGTTAGATATCTAACTTAAAGGTGCTCCATTTGTAACATACCCAGAAAAATCTGTTGAGGTTTGTTTTTTTTGGTTTTTGTGTGGTTTGTTTTTTTTTAAGAAGCTGTAGAACTAAAAAAGTATAAAGGATAAAAATGGTATTATTGGAAAACCATTCTGCTTCTTGAGCTACAACAGCTACCACTGAAAATGCTGTTAATTAAGAACTCTAGAACTGTTGTGTAACTTTTAAGGTTTTATTCTGGCTCAGGTAATGTGTGTATATGTGAAATCTATGAATTGCTGTTGTATTGAATACTTAAGGCCATTGTTCCAGAAGGATATTTTTTCAAAAATTTCTGTATTGGTTAAGGCTTTGAGATAATACAGTTACAATAAAATACAAAACTTAAAATTTCTGTAGAGGTTTAAGTAGTATGTAGTACCTATATCTGTTCCAATTTTAATATTTGAAAAAAATTAAGTCTCATTGCAAATCATCTTTCTGTGAAACTGCTTGAGTGTATCGGTGGATATTTAGTCACAAAAACATAGTAGAAATTTATTACTGTTGTATATTAACGAATTAGAAAGTTACAATTTTCATTTTTCTCAGGGTGCTGATGTTCCACAGAAACAGCAAATAAATAACGCTGAAACTTATTTTGAAAATGCAAAGGTAGAATGTGCAGTACAAGCTTGTCCTGAACTGTTACGAAAAGGTATATTTTTCACTTTTATTGACAGCCGAGAAATTACGTCTTTTTTTAAAAATGTAAAAATATGTAAGTAAACACTCTGATGTAATTGATGCCACAGAACGTGTAGTAGAAAAGGGTTACACAGAGTTAATATTTTACAAAAGAAAAATACATACTATAAAACAAGAAGTAAAACTTTGCTGTTGACAATACTTGGTATTTCATATAGAATTGATTGCCATTTAAATTCAAGGTCAGCTGGGGTGGGGAGTGACTTTCAGCTGCTTTCTTTAGCGTCAGGTAGATTTTGGAGTGGATTTTTCACTATCCAAAAACCAGTTTGTGACAAAATCAAATCTTTTGGCACTGCTGCTTAGTACAACGGGAAATTGAAATTAATGAAACTTCTGAAAGCATTGGTTTTTTATCTTTCTTTAAATTGCTCAAGAAGGAAATGATTGAAATTAAATTTGAATAAAACCTTCTGATTTTACAAGTGATGTACTGAAAGCGAGAGGAGACTGAAATCTGACTGAAGTCCTGGTCTAGACGCTGAAGAGAGCAGACTTTTCAGAGACTAAGAAAGAATGAGCCTTTAGACTTTTAATTCTGGAAAGCACTTTTTTCCTCCCACACTGAAAACAAGGCTCCATGAAGCCTAAACATGACTTCCCTGCTTCACATGCATTGCCCTTTGTAGTCCAACAGATGATGTAGAGAGGGAATCATGATGGATTTGGACCTTTTCTGCTCCGGGGGAGGAACCGTCACAACTCATACCGATAGTATGCTACTGATACTGAGTCTGCCGTCATGTCCTAGGAAGTAGATCTGGGACATTTCTACTGAAAGATTTAATGTAAAATTCACTGTGTGTCAGGTAGTGTGACTTAGCCAGTTCTCGCATGTTTGCAGAACTGTGGTCGTCAATTCAAAATGCTAAAATATTATTATACTTGGTTTTATATCTTTGCAAAGAAAGACACTTCTGTGCACCTTCTGAAACGTACAGAGTAGTGGGGCTTTCACCATCTTGCAATTAAATAGGAGGTCTTGAAATAGCAAACTCCCCTCTCTAAGTTGCTTTTAACAGGACCTTACAAAGGTACATTAGTTGCCACAAAACCAATGTCGGGTTTTCAAATCAGCATGCTGGTTGCTGAATCTGACGTGGAAAACACAGATGTTTCTTGGATTTAAATCAAAGGAAGGCTCTAAAGTAGGGCCAATAACTTGTCTAAAACTGAAAAACCCTAAGTAAAATGCAAGAGCAAGCCATAACATGCCGGTTTCACTTTTTTTAGACTTTGAGTCGATGTTTCCAGAAGTGAATGCCAACTGTTTAACGGTGTTAACTGTCACCCAGAAGACTAAAAATGATATGACTGTATGGAGTCAAGAAGTGGAGGATGAGAGAGAAATGTTGTTAGAAAATGTAAGTAGCTAACATGAGCATCAGTTTACTTTTGTTTGTAGATGAATCTTTTTGTCAACTATGTGTGTATTTCGGTCCATTTCTAGCTCTGGTAGTAATATACTGTGTTACTTTTTAGAGCATTTTTGAGCTAATCCTAGGTTCTCTTACTGATAAAATGGAGCCAACTTTTTTCCAGCTTTGTAGCTTTTTCACTACTCTACATGAAATGTCTCATAGAACCATTACATTCTTTATAGTGAGATGAGTCAGAAATATGCTAAAATATTATAAAATGCTGCAGTAAATTAATAAAGATAATTGATTGTTGTCCTGTTGCAGGTAAAGGGCAGCAACTATTTTCTCCCTTTACATCAACTTTAGTGTGGTGCATTTTGTAGGATTTCGCTGCTCTCGTCGTTTTTCTGTGGTGTAGCTGAGATTCCAGTGTGGAGTCTGTCCGTGAGTGTGTCCTACTTGTAAAAAGTGGTTGCTCTGTTTGTTTTTTTTTTTTTTCCCATTCTGATAATGCGTACAGTTAGTGCTTTTAGCCCGGGTATCAGTTATATTTATTACATCTTAACCATCCTCGTGAACTTTGTCTTCTTGTTGCGTTGCCACGAGAGGGCTCTCTCAAAATCGCTTTATTTCAGATTTTTCAGGGTTTTTTTGGTGTGTACTCCAGCAGGTGTCACCATTTGCCACTGCTGGCATTCTTTTCTTAGCACCTCACAATACATTTCTAGATACTATTTATTACAATTTTTCTAAAACTAGTAAAAATAATCCTATAGGATTTTCATTGTATAGTGAGGGCCCTATTTATGTTTGAAAATAGTCTGGTAATGTCCTTTGCAATCCTGTAAATTGCAAATGTGGCCTGTGTAAAGCAGTGTAAGGGTTACCACGAAAAAGGAAGAAGCGGTCTGAAGGATCAACGTAAAGATTACACACAAATTAAAATTCCCTTCATTTTAGTGCGTTCTTCTCTTTGAATTATTTATGGTCTGTTGGTCTTTGGCATTGTAATCTGGTCTAATTATATGTTAATTGGCATCTTTCTTCCTTGTGCACCTCCCTGTCAAGTCTAATATAGTCGTGGTAGGGGTGTTAGGATGTTGGATGTAACCTCCCGGCCTAAAGGTTACTAACAGCAAGTTCACAAGAAAATGGTCTGTTTGTTTGCTCCTTAGATGGTTAGAAGTAGTCTTAAAAATACTAATTTAATGTGAGAGGCTTGTGCTAAAGTAATGAGGGTTATGTACAGCCAAATCTAAATGTTTACAGTCATGAATCTCAAGTGTTTATTAACCGCACTCTTCAGTGATTGCTGAGGGGTTGTTACGACACTGGATCAAAAGATGTACTGTATCAGAAATGTAATGCCTAAAGTGCTGTCTTCAGATGGCTTACGTACATTTGTGACTTAATTTACATAGTTAATCATCAGAGCCATCAAACCTCAAAATACAGAACAGATTACTGCAAAGGATAAACTCCCCTTATTTTGGACCATTAAGGGACTGAAGCTGAGTAACTATAATAATATTTCTATAAATTTGAAACCTTCAGCTGCTGAGGGCACTAATTACAGAGAACAATCTGATTTTTATCACTGAAAGTGAATAAAGTATTACATTTATTCTGGAGTTAGAAATATTTCTTTTTTATGAGATTAGGAAATTTGTTTCACATTTTGAGGAAGCTATGTGAGTTCTGTTTGTGCTTTACTCTAGCTCAGTGTATTCAGCCATTAAGGTTTTTGCACTTGGACATATTTTTCATATTTTTCAGTGCCTGGATGGTTTTAGAACCATCGCATATCTCGACTTTTGTGGGGTTTTTTCCTCACTCACCTTTGCAGGTTTCTTCAGAAGTTTTCTATAGGTCCCTGCTGGCCCTCATGGGTTGAAAACTGCTGATCTGCGTGATTAAAGGCACATAACTGACATCTCATGTTGTTGCTGATTTCTCTGTGGAAAAAATGTGCTGTGTAATCTGTAGGTTGTGTAATTATTTTGTGCCCTGTATTTTGGTGTCAGAATACAGGAACACAGCTTTAAATCTACCTGGTTGGATTTTCTTCTGTATCTGACAAAGAAATAACTGCAACTCAACACCAAAGATTTAAAAAAAAATACAAACAAACAAACAAAAAAAGCAGCTTAATTTCTAAAATTAGCTGAGGTGAAAAGTTTGCTACAAAAAAAAGTAGATTCTTTAAGCTGTCTCTTCAGAAAAGGGAGGTTTTTGATGATGCCTCACAGAACAGGGAACTTCTTGGCTTGGCATGTTGCTTAATTGGAAATACTATTTACAGGAACATCAGCTGGTGTCCTCCAGTGTAATTGAAACATGAGCTACAACTTGGATTGTCAAATAGTGGGAGAGTTTGAAATCATTATCCATCCTGACCGCCAGTTTATTAAAACAAGAGAATTGGTGTAGATTTGTGTAAAAGTCAAGTGCTTATGGAACTGTTTACTATTATGATGCAAAACTATAACATTCTTTAAAATCATTTCCAGTTAAACATTCATAATGCAGGAAGGGCTACGTAATAGTGCCCTGTTGGCTGAGATAAGACCTTACAGCAAAACTATGTTTTTAATATATTTAATGCTACATTTAGTGTCAGATTTGTGGAGTTAGGTGAGATCTGTAACTCGTGGAAATAACACAGAAATACCTGAGGTCATGGTTGACTTCTTAAAGAGAGTAACAGGTATGATTGCAATCTGCATGAATAGTCAAAGCAATTACATTATTCTTTGTACAGGTTGTTAGTCCATTACTGACTGGCACAAGGATCACTTTTAAATCTCATATGATTGGGGTATCCTAATGTATGCCATTTATTCTAATCCTCTTAATATTATTAATATTTTTATTGAAAGTATGCTGAATTTCTCATTTATTAGTAGAGGCCAAAAGAAATCTGTGATTGTTCGTTTTCAGAATATTTTGTATGTGTTCTGATGTGTGTGTATGTATGTAACAAAAATCTCATTTGATATCCTTCTTTCCCTTTATTTTCTTTAAGTTCATTAATGGTGCCAAGGAAATTTGCTATGCAATTTGTTCTGAAGGCTATTGGGCTGACTTCATTGATCCATCCTCAGGACTGGCAGTAAGTTATGTGCTGTGTGGAATATGCAGTGGACACCGCTATGTCTTAACTAGCAGTGGCATTTGTGTTCTGTAGGGGTTAAATCCAGCTTTTTCGTATGGCTCAAAAGCTGTTACCGTAGGATAATTCCTTTCATAAACTAAGCTAGGATAGCAACCCTGAGCCAGTTCCCATACCTTGCCAGCTGCAATGACAGCTGACGCTTTAGAGAACATTGTTCAGCAATGAAGTTGAATTTTAGTTAACTGTGGAAGTTTTATGCCCAAGAGCTCTTGGTGACTGCACAATAGCCTGGGTATGCCCTCCCAAGATAGCTTGGGAGTCCTGACACTTATTTGTGTAGATGGAGGGTTTAAAAAAGTCTCTTTGCCATAGTTAATAGTATCTTTGTTACTTTGTTGGAAAAAAATTAATAGCTTATTCCTATTAAACAGTGTTGGCATTCATTATGAAGTTACAGCAGTTCTCTGGAGGAGCTGACACTTTCTTACCAAGACATCTGTGAAACATAAAGAGTCTTAAAACTTAGAAGAGAGAATTGAGAAAGCTTCTATCAAAGCTTGAGTGCATATGTATTTTTGTCTGAGAACTAACTGTTAAAACCGTATCATAGTTGAACATAATCATGACAAAGCTCAGTTTGGTGGGTTTTTATTTACAAATGCTGTGAAAGGCAGTGATTTATTTTGTCAACAGGGGCAAATAGGTTTAACAGGGGATGTTTATAAGGCGAACAGGCAGTTGAAGGTGTGTATAGTGCTTAAAAGCTTCCCAGAAATTCCGTGCATTTAGGGAATAGTTACAGATTGATGACAGTAGGGTTCTGTCTTCAGGCTCCAATTCAGTAGTAACATCCTTACCGATAACCTGTTCATCAACGAGTAGGCTTTTGGTCAGAAGCTTCCTCCTGACATAAAGCAACTGAAATACCCATTTTCAATTTACACGCACTTTTGCTCTTAAAGCATCTTTCTTTATAGGGCGCTCATTGAAAGGGTACGTATCTTATTTTTGCTATTTCACAGAAGGGTTCTATCCTTAATGCCTGTGGAAGTAGCAGAACCTTTCCAAAGCACTTGAGGTTTTTTGTATGTATCATTGACTAGACGTTCAAGCACAGTGGTATGCCTTCAGCGCTCTGTCAGTGATGAAGGAAAATCTTTAAATATGGGATACCAGTATAACCACAGGTGCTCTGCTTACTTTCCTGTGTAGATTTCGTGAATAAAACTGTACATAAAATTTCCTACAACAGATGTAACTGGTACTTCGTGACTTGGGGTTTTGTTTTAAAAGCGGGTAGTTCTGGCATTTTAAATGCTCTTGGAAATGTTCACGTGAAAAATTCTCTCTCTTTCTACCTAGTTTTTTGGACCTTACACAAACAACACTCTGTTTGAAACAGATGAACGCTATCGCCACTTTGGATTTTCCGTTGATGACCTTGGCTGCTGCAAAGTTATTCGTCATAACATCTGGGGTACTCATGTGGTTGTAGGAAGTATTTTCACTAATGCTGAACCTGACAGCCCTATCATGAGAAAACTAAGTGGAAATTAGCAGTCATCAGGGTTTCACAAGTTCTTATGACCTTTGCATTCTTTTACTTGATGATTGTTTCTAAGCATTGTCAGGAAATGCCACACTTTAAAGTATTCTTAACTAATAAAGTAGCTGTTATTTATTTTAGTCTTTGTGAATACGTGTTCACCACATGTGACTTGGAATATTAATTGACAACATTCAAACAGATACCTTTTTGTGCCATATGAGTTTTAAGCTGTGAGTTTCCTTCATCTTGAATGAGTTTAAACACACATGTATATAGCTATCTGCCTATCCTTCTTTAATACTGTCTTACAAGCCACGCTTCTTAACTGTTTTGTCTTTCAGTGTCTTAACAAATCTGTGCTGTTAGTATTAAAAATCCAGATGCCGCTCAAGTTTCTAGGAATTTTGCCACTTACTGGAATAAGTAAGTGGCAAAAAAGTGGAATAAGTAATAAAATTGTTCTCCCAGAATACAGCACTTTATAAAAACTGCAGAAGTTAATGCTGGACTAATCACTCATTTGCTGTTCTAAAATGAGAATAATGAGATAAGCTTTCTGTGGTCTCTAACTACAATACTTCAGTAGGGAAGTGTTCACTTGACTGCTACATCCAGAGACTCAGTAAAAAGTCTTAAATTACTCTAGAATCAGTCATCTCTTAATGTTTTTTGTCCTCATGTTGCTTGGGATTTTATTTTCTCGGTGTTAGCTAAGTGTATTTAATTAGCTTATATATGTAAATGTAATTTAAAGTTGCTTTTGTAACTTTCTTAGGTCATTAAATACATTGTGGGAAAAAAAAGATAATAGGGCAATACTTGGATATCATCATTGTTTTCCTGTACTTGGATGCAATTTAGACTTGTCTCTGGAATTTTGAAATGCCTGTGCAGAGAGCAATTATGATCAATTATTGCAATTATAAAAATATTTTAACAGGAAGGTTTCAGTAAACTAGTCAGTCTCTTCAGGTATCATAAAAACAATCAGGTCAGTTGAAGTCACTGAAGGGAAGAAAATGCAAGGCGCCTGAAATACCAGAACTATCAGCTGCCTCGCTGCAGAGACAAAGAAATAAACTAGATTTTAATGTCATTGCAGTCGGTTATGGGGGCCATTTGTTAGTACACCACCACAGTGGCTGTGCCACTTCATGCACCAATGGGAATCCTTCCGTCTTGACTCCGTCAAAATGTAGTGCAGCTTTTGTCTGGATAATGGCTGCGCGAGATGATGATCTGAGGGGTTTAGCTTCCTGTCAGGTAGCTACGGGGTTTAATTGTTGTGTCTTTTTCCAAGTATGATTTAAAACTTGTTCTAGGTTTGTATACTAATTCTATTCCCTACTCAGGGTTATCACCAAAGTCTTTTTGTTGGCTTTAACGGGGTTTAGAACCAGATCCTTTACCAAGTGCCTGTATCTGTCCTTGTTAATGACTGCTGCCAGCCCATAACTTTGGCGGATCACGGAGGTGGACGTGAGGAAGACTTTCCAGTGGAGAAGTGAGTGCTGTCTACTCCAAATTCATTCACTAAGCCAGCAAGTCGGAGGTGGTCTTGCTTACCTACCATCATTGTCAGCACTGTGAGCTCTATCCTGCGCACATTCCAAGGTTGAACTTGAGGCAGGATTTGTTTATCACTTTGTCATGGAATCTGTGCTGTCTTTCCAGAGCCCAGGTTCTTGAGCTCCACTCTACTGTCCAAGAAAGCTGTATTACTTCAGTCTTTTTTTTTTTTTTCTCATCAAGAGGATTAAAAAAGCTTGAGAAGCTGCAATGTGTCTTGTCTGTTTGCAAAATACAATTATTTTGCAGAACACAAATTAGCTCATTTGATAAAAGAGGGTTAGTGTCTCGCTGGCCAGTGGAGTACACCTGTGGAGAACTTTGGATAAATGTTAGGAAAATAAATTTTTGTGAAATGGTTCACATATTTTAACTATCTTGAAAACTCTTGATGCTATCTTTTTTTCAGATGACTTTGCCGTATTTACCTTCCTATGTTTTAGAAAGGGTGGGAGCTGTCGGGCAGCTATTCAGATTAAGCTTGGGACGCTAGTTTTTGAGTTCATGTTCTTTTAAAGTTTCGTCCTGTAAAGGGCTTTTACAGTGGCTTTTCAAGTGGCTTCAACCTGAGGCAGAAATCTCACTGAAAAGAGTGGGAGTTTTGCCTTGACTTCACTAGTACTAATGTTTCATGCCAGAAATTGAGGGGAGGTGTGATATTTCCTGATATTTTTCTGAATAAAACTTTTTCATACATACTGATTCTCAAGAGGCTGGAACTGCTCCAATTTTATTTCCCTCACATCAGAAGAGCTATACTGTGTATTATTTAATTTGCTACTATGAAATAAAAGTTCTCGAATACAGTGTAACTGTAGTTCTGATAATAAAAAACAAAACAACTTTCAGTGTTACAAAATGCATTCCTTTCTAGGGTAAAGAAACAAACACATAAGAAGAGCTATTGTATGTAAGGTCACGTCTGCCTCCTTAGCAAAGATTACGGCTCTGTGGGAAGTACTGTTTTTCTTAATTCAGAGAGGCTGCTAATTTCTAGATGTTATAAATCCATTACCAAATATACCAGAATTTATTTTTTGCAATAAATTCCATTAGAACTTATGTAAAGTAGTGATGCTGAGTGTCACAAGAGCAGTGCTATTTCTTTGTGGGGCTGCATTTGCAAACACGTTAATGTATGTGGAGAATATGCTTAAAATGATGCAAGTCTAGAAGTTATTTGTAGTAGTCAAAAGGCTAAAGAAATGTTATAGGTGAAATATTTGTCACTTAGGTGCCCTAAGATAGGAGGAACTGAGCTAAATGTCTTTCCACAGAATTCCTAGTAAAGGTGAGAAAACTTACGGAGTTGTTTTTTTCTGTCCTAAAATACCTTGGGACTAATCTTACCTGAGCTATTATCCTGGTGAAGTTCTACACTGCCGTAGTCTCCTCAATAGCTGGTGGCATCTCGGCTAAGGACCATAGTGGTGACAGGATTTTAATTTTAATTTACAAGAATAAATTTGAAACCAGGCTTTAAAGTGTAATGGGGATAAATATGGAACAAGATACTGAGAAATGGCCAGGTCACAGCTGGAAAGAGGTGTTTTCCTGTCCTGTGGAAGATGAAAGCCCTGGCTGCATGTCTGAGCTCGGTGAAACAGGGAGATGTTGCTTTGTTGGTTGAATCAGTACAGGGAAATACTTAACTATCTTGAGATCTTCAGTGGGAAAGATTGGGATCTTTCTTTTTCCACCTGAAGACTCCTGAAGTTTAGACTCGGTGATAGCTTTTACTCGGTAGAAATGTCCAAGTAGCAAGTACCAAAAAAGTTTCTATTTTCAGTAAGTTGAAAGCTTACGTGGTTTTCAGTGCCATGAATGTTCATGTCTAAGCTGTGCTACTGTAGGTAGGGGGTAGGACAGAGGTACGGTATTTTAACAGATTGAGGATTGTGTATGAAAAGGAGTCTATTCCAGATCTTCTCCTCAACCACTTTGGTTCAGCTCAGTGAATTCATTGATTTATTCATGACATCCTCATGTAACAGCGTGGGTTTTAGATCTTAGCTTTATATCCAACTGTGCTTAACTTGGGAGAGAGCAAATAAGCTAGTCCTCTGGTTCACAGAGTTAAAAATTAACATTATACAGTCTGTGACATGGAGGGAGTAAAAATACTGCTGGTGATACAGAGCTGAAATACAATGGAAAAATAATTGTGTGACTTGCCTCGTGTGCCCAGACCTTTTAAAGCCTCTTTTTATTCAGAGTCGCTTCGGTTTTTTTACTCAACATCCTCAAAATTGTCATTCAAACTGATGTTCGCTGTGCGTACGTTTATAGAGAGCAGGAAAAACAAGCTAGGTAATCGAACAGCTCTCATTTATAAGAACATAAACAGTGAAGAACTCAATTCTCCTTCCACTAGCGAGCCACCTGACTGGAAAAAAGCTCTCCAAATAATCCAGAGGGTCAAAGGTATCACTTGGGGGAGAGGGCCCCTTTTCTCTGACTGCCATCTTGGCTGCAGGCTCGTTGCCCTTTCTTGCTAATTGCAGTGTCATTCAACGAGAGATACTCTGGTTCGTAAACCCGCAGGACAGCACGGCTGTAACTTTAGACAGCTCCAGGTAGCTGATCCGGAAAGGTGAGGCCGCAGGACGTAAGCTACTTTGTCACGGTAACGTACATAAAACTTGGTCTGTGAGCTTGTCTTACTATGAAAGCTGCTGCCCGGTCAGCCTAAACTCATTGTAGAAATCTGGATATAGGGTGGAAAAAATTCATGAATTTGGAAGAACTGAGCCTGTGTTGGTGCTGTTGCTCAAACAATTTGAAATAAGTACAGAGTGGCAAGACAGTTTTTATACTCGGAGCGATTTGTACAATCGAAGATGTCAGGGCTGGGCTCTTTTTCCCCCTCCGCTGCACCCTTGGACAGCAGTGGAGCAGCTCTCCGCGCAGTTTGCTTGCTGGACTGAAAGAAATGTGAAAGCTGCCGATTCAAACCACGTACGGAATTGATTTTTGAGGATGCAGAAAGGAGGTGTGAAAGATGCAGCTAAGGAGGTTATTGTTGCATCGTGTTCCAAGATACGCAGCATATGTATTTCTGAAATCATGTACTTTAGAAACGAGGTAGCCTACTAAACCACGGTGTTACCGCTTGAAAGCTGCCCATGTGACCATGTATATTAAATTAATTCCTTCCCTTGCTCTTCAGCTAATCCTTGGTGGACACTGATAACGGCCCTTGCATTTGACGGTAGCAAGTGAATGGCAGAGGTGCCTTTGTTGGCATCGCAGCAGAGATGTGGAAGGTTGGCTGATGAAGGAGAACGAACCGTATCTATGTGAACTAACTGGCGAGGGCTGAAATGCCTCACCTAATCCAAAGTGAAACATCCCATGTATGGATATTTGTACATATTCATTCTTCTACCAAAACAGGGCCTTTTCACACAAAAATTTCAAATATTTCTGGGTTATTTTTAAATTTTTCTTACACAAAGCCAAAATCCGTAGACAATTACTGATATTCTGTCTGAACAGCTGTTTTTACCACGTATGTGTCAATATTTCTTTTTTCGCTTGACCTGTCCCTATGCACATAAAGGTTGTGGTCAGGAAAACCACACGATGTAATGAAAAAACTGATTTAAGCTTCCCTTTTAAACAGCAGAACTTGACGCTGGTTTGTTAGGACTCACTAGGAAACCCAGAGAGAGAACCCAAAGCTTGAAACGTTGCATTTTCATAGCTTGTGTCTCCA